CAAGCATTGATTTATAGTTCCCAGCACACAGGGTTTGTACCTCTTGTACAAATTTATAATATTTATCCCTAACTATTTCATGCTTTGATGCAATTAAAGTGGCTTTAATCCTTCAATTCCCAATTGTTCATTGCTAGGACACAGAAATACGATTTTGTCTCCTGCATTTATCTGCCAAGATAAATGGTTGTTGGTTCTGGTGGCTTCCCTCAGATTTCATGCACAGAGCGTCATGTTTTCTGTGGATACAGGTTTACCTCTTCCTCTCCAATCTACTCAACATCCACATCCTGATCCTGGTCTTTGGAGAAAAAGCTGTGTCTTTCACCATTAAGTACTATGCTTGCTTTTGGTTTTCATAAATGACCTTATCTGCTTGAAGAATCCTCAGTGTCATCATGAGTGAATGGTGAATTTCATTAAGTGCTTTTCCTGCCTCTGTGAGATGATTCCATCTGATTTCTTTTTTTAATTCCAGTAATGTGGCAAATTGCATTGATTAGTTTTCAATATTAAACCGAGTCTGAACTGGGCTGAGCCCCGTGTAATCCTGGTGTTTTCCTGTCTGTCGCCAGATTCTGCTTACTGAAATTCTGCCGAGCTTTTTGGCCTCTTTGTTCATGGAAAGATTGCTCTTTGGAATCTTTTTCCTTGTAACGTCTTTGGCTGATTTTGATATAAAATTACTTTGATATAAAGTAATGCCACCCTCACAAATGCATTGCACAGTCTGCCTGCCTTTCTCAGTTTCCTCAAAGAGTTTGTGGGCAGAATTGATACTATTTCTTCCCTAAATATTTGATAGGATTTACCAATGAGGCTATCTAAGCCTGGGATCTTCTTTATGGGAGGGTTTTTAGGTACAATTTTAATTTCTCTAGGGCTGTTTAGGTTAGATATTTCCTCTCCGATGAGCTTGATAGTTTGTTTTTTAAGGATTTTCTCCAATTCATCTATGTTTGCAGATCTACCAGCATAATATTTGGGGTACCCATATGTGTGCGTGTGGTTTGCAGTGCTGGGGACTGAACTGAGGGCCAAGCACATGCTAAGCATTTTGTCTACCACTGAGCCCAAAATCCCGCTTTGCCTTAGTATCCTTTTAGAACTGAAGAATCAGAAGTGGAGACACCTCTCTTGCTCCTGATACTGATAACTGTTCCCCTTTCTTTTTTCCCTAATTAGTCTGGCTTCAGGCTTATCAATAAAATTCATCTTGTCAGAGAGCTAGTTTTTGGTTTCATCGATTTTTTTTATTATTTTTCAATTTTGAAAATTATAGCCACTGAGAGCTTCATTTTTCTTGCTTCTGTTTACATGGGATTTTTATTTGTTTTGCTTAGTTCCTATGATGATATTGAGGACATTGATTTGAGACTTTTTTATTTTTTGTTTTTTGTTTTTTGTTGTTTGAGACAGGTCTTGCTATGCATTGTTCAGGCTGGCCTAGAAGTCCCTGTGTAGCCCAGGATGGTCTCAGACTTGTGTCAGTCCTTCTGCCTCAGCCCCCCAAGTGCTGAGATTGTAGGCATGCACCACCATGCCTGGCATCTAGACTTCCTTTTTTTCTGTAAGTATTTGATGCTATAATGTACTCTCAAGCGTATGTTTAGAGGCACCTTACACATTATCATATATGGTTTTGGGGGAGCTTATTTGTTTTGTTTGTTTTTTGGTTTTTTTGTCTTTTTCAGCCAGGGTCTCGCTATGCAGTACAGGCTGGCCCTGAGCTCATTTTGTAGCCCAGGCTGGTCTCGAACTTGCAACAATCCTCCTGCCTCAGCCTCCCGAGTACTGGAATTATAGACTTGTGCTGTGTTTTCATTTCTATTCAATTCAAAGTACTTTTTTTTATTTCTTATTTGCCCCATGAACTATTCAGAAGTGCACACACACACACACACACACACACACACACACACCAAAAAAGGGGGTGCTGGGGATTTAGCTCAGCAGCAGAAGCGCCACCTGCCTTGCAAGTACAAAGTTGTGAGTTTGATCCCTGGTAACACACACACACAAAAGTGCATTAATTAGTTTCCAAATATTTAATGACTTTCCAGAAATCTTTATGTTACTGCTTCCTAATATATTTCATTTGGTCAGAGAAGATATGTTGTATTTGAATTGTTTATTTATTGAGGTTTACTTGTGGCCATCTTGGTAAAACTCTCATGTACTTTGATAAGAGTATGCATTAGGTCCCAGGTTATCTCTCACCTTACTGATTTTTATCTGCTTGTTCTATCAGTGTTTGAAAAAGATACTAAAATGTTTACTATCACTGAATGCTGTCTATTTTTCCTTAAAGTCATAACAGTTTGCTTCAAGTTTTGTCACTTAGCTTTTTATTTTTGGCCTTTAAGGTTTGCTTAGCGTGCAAACAGCTGATGTGAAAACGCTGATCTCTATTCTAAGTACTCATTTTATATTTGATATTTTATTTTACTGACATCTTATTTCCCTGCTGAGTGCATATTATACGATATAACAGGAACCTCCTGACAACACAGCTAGATCTCCGAGATGTCAAGGAGGAACCACAGAAAGGCAGGAAAGCAAAAGGCCAATGTGAGGAGCGTGTGGAGCTTGCTGCCGGGGTGTGACAGCGGAAGTGGGCTTCATGTTTTGCGGCGTGCTATTGGCATTTTCATTGTTCATCTAGGAATTTACGTCTGACTTTGTACACTAAAACCCAGTCCGTGTTGAAAAATTTGATGCGTCTTTATAAACACTCAATCAATATTAAAAACTCAGCCTGGCAAGCGTGAGGTTCTGAGTTTGATACTGAGTATAAAAAAAAAAAAAAAAAAAAAACTCAATACTTTATGTTTGTGGTTTGTTTCCTATTAAGCAATCATTATTTAATAGAATAAAACTCATAAAATTAAAATGAATAATTCATCAATAGAAGTATTCTAAAGAATAAACATGGGTCTGACCTACCCATGCTTCTGCACCTCGATAGCAAAATTTATCTTAGCCTGGTGTTTTGGGGAAGCGAGGTCAAAGTCAAGGTCAGGGTCAAGGCCCACCCCCGGCACTGCAGCTGGACACTTCACCCCAGTGCTGTGCCCATCCTTGCTTCATAGTCTTAGCCGATGTCCTGCACACAATGGGGTGACAGACCCACGCTGTTACCCCACTCCCCCCGTCCACCGTCACCCTAATCCCCTTAACTGCCACAGCTCCTGGGACCAGAGTGTCCCTCTCACCGTGTGGGAGGTGCAGGGTCAGGGCTGCCGAGGACCGGTGCCTAGGACACCTTGCAGTGGGAGAGGAACATTGGGATTCACCTGAAGGCCAGGGGAGCAGCCTGTCCTGAAGCCACAGCCTGGCTGTCCTGTCCTGCAAGCAAGGTCTGCCTAGGGACACTGGCCTCCAGCCTCAGACCGGTGCGCACCCCAGCTCTCCCTCATCCTCCGTTACTTCCCCATGTACATCTGATGGTGCCCAGAGGGGCTCCCCATGGGCTCCTAGATTAAATCCAGTCATTTACACTAAGGGCCGGGACTGTCCTACCAGATCCGTAAAGAGAATCACTTTCTGCTTTTCCACTTAGCTGGAGTAGAGAGTAATGCCCACATCAATGCTGTTGCTCCTGTTTTAGAGATGACAGATATTGAGGCACAGAAAAACAGAAAAGCAGGGGCTGGGGATTTAGCTTAGTGGCATAAATGCGTCTTGCAAGTGTGTAGTCGTGAGTTCGATCCCCAATACCGATAAAAAGAAATAGAAAAAAAAAAAAAAACAGAAAAGCAAAAAAGGGCTCAGAATTACTTGGAGGCTCAGCTTCTGACACAGTGAACCGCCAGGATGCATCCCGTTACCCTGCGATGGCTTCCCCCCAGTCCCCCAGGAGCTGGGTCCCGCATCCTTAGGCTGGGACCCCACTTACTCCTGGTGGCTGCAGATTCCCCAGTGAGCAATGGTTTATTCAGGTATAGAGATTACCAGCTGGGTTCCGGTCGTAACCCCTCGCATGCAGCATCTGTGGGTAGAGGCCTCAATCACTGCCTTTCTGTTACCTAAATGGTGTTTCCAGGTATCCCTACAACTCAGGTGCCAGCAGCCACAGGGAGGCTCTCAGCCCAGCCAGGGTCTTCCTGCAGGAGGCTGGCTCAGCTGCAGGTACACGGTGTGGCCCCTCGGTCGTTTCCTTGCCTGTGAAGCTGGAATCATGATGTGCTTTGAGGGGCTGTGGGGAGCTTTGCATCGATCACTGCTTGCCCGGAAGAGGAGCGCCGTGTGGCCAGGTGTGGGGTAGGGTTGGAGGCAACTGGGCAGGTGCAGACCGGGGTGCCGTCCCCCCAGCTTGGTGTGGAGCCTGATGCAGTGACAGCAGAAACTGGCTTAGCAGACGCGCGCACCAACCTGGCTTGTAAGGACTAAGGACTTCCCAGCACAGCAGCACCAAAGTGCAGCCACCATTCCCGTCTCCTGGGAGCCAGGCAGCTGACTGCAGGGAGGGGCTTGTCAACAGGTTCCCACAGGAAGCACCCCAAAGACTGACATGGTCTGAGCTTGGAGGAGAGGAAGGAAGTCCTGAGCAGAGATCCAGGTCACTGACATTCGGAGGGCAAAGGAGGCCGCGTGCATGCTACGTGCGTGACAGGGCAGGTCTGGCTGCTCACGGGCGGCGAGCCCTCCTGAAGTGAAAGTCACCGTCTTGTGCAGACATAGAAGCTGAGGCTCCCAGAAGTTTCTCGGTGGGCTGGGAGGCACACAGCCTGAGACACAGGCGGGGCTGGCCCAGCCGTGGGCAGCACTTTGCCAGCTGTGGGTGTCATCATAATGCCCTCCCCAACCAGCATGGGGTCTCCTCTGTTCCTGGTCCTCTGCCCTGGAGCAGAGCCACACTCCTGCCTGGGACCTGGACCACCCTGCCACAGAGCTGGGCTCCTGACGCCAGGACCCAAGCTGTCCTCTCCCCCAGGGGCTGAAGGCAGGACATTTCCCTAGTGGCTTATTTTTCCTGTTTGTGTTTGTCTCCCTTTTAGGGACTGATTTCTCTACAAGGGACCCAGGTGACTGAACTCCCTCCTGGCCCTGAGGACCCAGGGAAGCACCTCTTTGAGATCAGCCCAGGTAGGACCCAGCACCTTTCAGGGGCTCTGAGAGGGTGTCGGGGGAATCACTGCACTCCTGCCTGGGGAAGGAAGAACCCAGATCTCTGCCTGAACGTCGGCATGGTCTCCATGGGTGACCCGGAAGTGGGGACCAGTCTAGAGGGCATTGCATGCTGGGAAGAATTAGAAAATCCAAGTGACTATCTGGATTTTTAAATTTGTGATAACTGTAAGGGAAGAAATCCATCAACCAGGACATCTGAGGGTGACAGTGATATCCTGTTAGCAGTGACAAAATGGTTTTTCACAGCTCCAGGTATTAGGCTGTGGCTGTCATTGACCTAAGTGAAGGTGCCTTCCGGGTGAGCACATCTGTTCCCTGTGGGCCTGGGTTTCCCAGGCAGCAGAGTCTGATTTCATTTGGTCCCCATCAGACACAGAGCGCAAGACACAGGTCCGAGCAGTTTATTTCGGAGCTGGCTGGACAGGGAGGAGGCCAGCCCGGTGTGCTTTGGCAGGTGGCTGCTGTGGGCCCTGGCTCAGCTCTAGTCACGTCTGAGGTGGCGCAAAGTGGGCCTCAGGAGTGCGTCACTCAGGCTGGGTGAGGCGTGCCCAGCAATGCCCACCAGCCAGACAGCCAGAGCTGCACCCGAGGCCTAAGCTTTCTGGCCACCTTCCCTGGCCCTTGACCCCGTGGACCAAGCTGCCTGCAGACTGGGAAGGTCCATAGTTAAAGTCTGCAGGGAAGATGCCACCAGTGTGACTACAAGAGGAGTGTTGGCCAGGGCAAATGTGAGTGTGAGGGTCTCATGGGTGTCCCTGAGCCAGGGAGCAGCCACCCAAGGGCTCCAATGGAATGGCCTGGCGAGGGGTGGACCTGCCAGGCTCGGGGCACAGCCATGGGGAGCAGGAGGGAGTGAACCAAGTCCGGGGCCCAGTGCAGCCCCTTTCCCGTCTATAACAGGAATCCCTGAAGGCTGGGCTAAGGTGTGGGGACACACTTCCCAGGCCTCTTGTGTAACCCCATATGCCTGTGGCTTTTCACGGGCTCCTCGGATTGCTGCAGTGGTCTTGGTAGTAAACTGTGTGTTAGAGGTGGATACGGGAGCCCAGGGTGCGGGAGACAGAGGCTGGGTGTAGCCTGGAGAGGAATGAAAATGGGGGTTCAAGGATCTGGAGGTATAGCCCTGGCCCGAGGGCAGGGGAGAGGCGAGGTCAAGTTGGAGGTCCACACACTGGCCAGAAAGTCAACAGCTCTGAGTGTGTGCCCCAGGGGCTGTCAGCGAGGTCACCTGTGTCATGGAGCTGTTTGGAGTTGTTTACCAGGATTCTTTTGAAGGGGTGGGGTGCATCTTTTGTCAAGGGGCTGGGGATTTAGCTCAGTGGCATAAGCGAAGCCTCTGCCTTGCAAGCAGGCAGTCGTGAGTTCGATCCCTGGTACCGATAAAAAGGAAAAAGACAAAAAAAAAAAAAAAAATGCCTTGCGTCTTTTGTCTTTTGAGGTGACATTCACGAGGTTCCAGGACCAGAGGGTGGGCGTCTGCAGGGGCCATTATTCTGCCAACCACAGTGCTGAAAGAAAGGAAGTGTGTTTATGTCTGTGGCATGGGGGATGGAAAAGACACAGCGCCCAGTGACACACAGCTGGATGGTCACGGGGCTGGGGCTAGGACTGAGTCCCACAGACGGGGCATTGGATCAAGAATAAAGTCCTGGGGTGGGAGGTCCCCGTCAAGGGGCCGCATCCCCTCAGGGTCTTCCTGCTGGTGGGGACCCCACAGAGACCTGTAGCACCGTAGAGGTCCAGGGTGGAAGGCTGCGTGCCAGAGTTTGAAGCCAACTGGATCCTCAAACAGACCTGTTCTCACAGGGACCCAAAATCCACGAGCCAGTTAGTGGGGTCACTGGGGCACAGCCTCCTATACCTCACTGCGGGGTGACACTTCAACACCAGTGTTGGTGAGGACCTGCAAACCACAGCAGGCTGGGACCCTGGCTTGGGTGGCATCCCCAGCTGTGTTCCCAGGCTGCATCCCCCAGGGGCCTCCTGGAGACCCCGAATCCTCCCCACCTGGCTTTGAGGTCCAGAGAAGGAAGATTGCCACCCCACTTCTCCCAAACACAGCAGTGGTGACCTGGCAAGTCCACTGAGCTGTCTTTGAATGCTCAGCCAGTCTTAGAGGCCTGGGGCAGAGCCAACTGCTGGAGCCGCTGAGGGAACCTGAGGCAGGGAAACTGAGGTGGGAGACGTGTGGATCACCTTTGCAGAGTGCTGTGCACCCAGCTGCAGAGCGAGATGCCACACCAGTGTGCATGGATCCACAGCTGCAGTAACCAGATTAGGTGTTAGGTGGACACCAGTTGCCTGGGGGCAGAAGCAGGGCATGGGGTTGCTGAGCCCAGTTCCCAGGGAGCAAGCTGTCATGGCTTATGTCCGTGTCCCCAGGCCTTATGAGTTTGCATTGTGCATTTGTGATGGTTCATTGTCTAGTGCTTGGATTGATGGTGTCAGTGTTACACACCCACCTGGGGTGGAGCCAGGATGTGATGTAATGGCAGGAAGAAGGTGTGTCTTGCTCTTTGCTGGTTCCTGCTTGCTGTTTGCAGCCACCATGAACTGCAGCCCAGCCATGCCAGCCTGCCTTGGACCAACTGAGTGTGGACTGAAACCTCCAAAAACTGAAAGAAATAAACCTTTCCTTTCTCAACTTTGGGCTTCAGGTATTTTGTCTCAGCAACGACTAAAAACTAACTAAGACACAAGCCCAGGCAGAGAGGAGTCACAGGCTGGACCTTGGGAGGGGACACTGCAGCTGGGGGACCTCGAGGCTACCTACACTGTCCTGAGTAGGGGTCGCTGGGCACAGAAATCTAAAGAGAAGCCTAGCCATAAAGCCCATGGCTGGGCCCAGCGCCTGGATGAGGACCAGGACAAGAGGAGGGAGGAAGAACTCCATCGATCTCACTAGATTCAGGGTTCGGCAGGCAGAGGCCAGGCGGGGGTGCTGCGGTCCCTCACCCCCCACCCAACGCCCCGAAAAAGGGGAACCACAAAACCTCTCGGAAATATGACGGAAATTATGGTGTGACTGCCATCTAGCGGAAGGAGCTGCCAATTCCACTGCAGGCTGCCTCTCGAAATCCCAAGGGCCACTAGTTGGGGAAGGACTTCCCCTCCTGTCCTGAGCTGCGGCCAGGGCTCCATCCTACAGTCAAATGCAGGAGTGCAGAGTGGTGGGAGCAGCCCCTGTGGACAGAGGCGGGGTGCACTCTCTGATGTAGGAACACGAAAGAAGGCCACCTCTACAGTTGGGGAGCCTCGGGAAGGGGAGAGTGGCATTTGTGTCTTGATGGACAGTCGCTTACACACAAGGTTTGCTTTTTGTGGTTACCAGGCAGGGAAAGGCGGGTGAAGACCCAGGCCAAACGGTTCTGCCAGGCAGCTGTGGGAGGAGTCACCCACCTGGCCCCAAAGGTTCCCGGGGACTGTAGCTAGAGCTGATGGAGAAGGGTGAGACGGTGTCACACCCTTGCCGGAATTTTCCTGGGCCACAGAGGAAGATGACACCAGCCAGGACTTACGTGGAGCTTGGGCCAGGGCTCAGAGGACCACCTGTGCCCAGCAGAGCTGGTAGGGAGGGCACCCCAACAGCCTAGGCTCTGCTCACACTGCCACCAGCCAGGAAGAGCTCTGTGGCCTCACCCAGGGGAACAAAGAAATAATCCTTCCCCTGTGCCTCCATCCCACCCTGGGAAGAGGAGTGGCACAATCCCCACCACCTCTCTGGCTTCAAAAAGAGCTTCTAACCAGAGGTGTGGGATCAACAGTAAACCCAGGGGGACAAATGGGAGAGAGCAGCAAGGTGGAGACATCAGGGACAGTCCTGGGGTGATAAGTCCTGGGGAAAGTTCATGCTTGGTTCCTTGGACCAGGGCCTGGGCACTGCACTAATAATCCATACCTCAGCATCTTGTGTTTCTTGTACATAAAGTTAAATACCAATGCCCGTGATGACAGCGCTTCCCATCCTATGGTGTTGCCATCTGAACGCTGTAACTTGTTTCCAAGAGCATCTTGCTGACTCCAAACTGGGAGCCGGGCCTAGAAGATGCCCCATCGTCCCCCAAGCCCATTGGCCATCACTGAGTCACATGGTCTGGCTAAGAGCAGGTCATTCTGGGAAATGTAGTCCAGCTCTGCCCAGGAGGAGGCAAGGCTGGTTTGATGCACAGCAGGCAGTCCTATTGCACTCATCAGAGGGCTGGTTACCTAAGAGAGAGTCACAGAGACACATTATCAAGGCCAACAGGATGAGATGAGCTGGGAGAAGCGCAGCAAGACAGGTGGCTATCTGAGCCTGCAAGCATGGTCCCCACAGTGCCTGTGAGCTCATGGAGGACTTCCGGGACAGAGTGACAGGACCCTGCTCAGGAAGATCAAATCAGCCAGAGGTGGGGCAGGGTGGGGTTTTCAGGCAGAAGCCGCAGGGTTACATCATGTGGTGCATAAAGGAGTAACTGGATTTGAAGTAAGCACTGGGATTGTTGGTTGACAGATGGAAAACAGTCCTCTGTGGCCGCAGGATGGAGTCCACCGTGGTTTCAAACCTTCCCGAGCCCCCAGCGGGGCCTGTGAAACTCAGCGTGCGGAGGCTGTGCTGGGGCAGAGGTGGAGAGAGGGCTCCCGACCTCGACCTCGGGGTGAGGAGCGACCCCTGGGGGAAGCGGGCGGAGCCATAACCACGCTTACCCCTGGCCACTGCTTTTTATTAGTACGTGCTTAGCATGCATTCCATTTCTCCTATTCTCTTTTATGAGTACCTTTTCCTGGGGCCAGGGATTTAGCTCAGCGGCTCAAAGGCTTGCCTAGCAAGCTTGAGGTGGTGAGTTTGATCCCCAGTACCCCCCAAAATCCCTTTTTCTTTCCTTTCCCCTCCTGCTCTTTTTCCCTTCCTAATTCGCAATATCTAGCTTGCATTTTGCTTTTTATTTACCTTGTGGGTTCCTCACACAAGAGAA